TCAGTAGAAAAATTCAATACAACATACAAATACAAAAATGATTTTTTGTATACAAAAAATATACAATTATAATACAAAAATGATACTCTTCAATAAAGAATGTTGCGATTAGACTTCCAGAGGCAAAAAAAAAAAAAGTTAACTTCAACCTAAATCTATTTTCTATAAAAATTAACACCAATGGATTTCAGTGTAAAACACACAACTATAAAATTATTAGAAGAAAATAGAAAATCTTAATGACCTAAGGTTAGGTAAAGAGTCCTTAGATGGGTCACCAAAAAGCATGATTCATAAAACATAAAATTGATAAGTTAGACACCATCAAAATTAAAAACTTTTGCTCTGTGAAAGATACTTTGTTCAGAGAATGAAAAGATAAGATACAGACCGCAGAAAATATTTGCAAATCACTTATTTGACAAAAGCCTATATTCAGAATCTCTAAAGAACTCTCAAAACTCAACAGTAAGAAAACAAACAACTGGATTAAAAAATAGGTGAAAGATTTGAACAGACGTTTCTTCAAAGCGGGCATACACGTGGTAAATAAGCATATGAAAAGTTGTTTAAAATCATTACCTGTTAGAGAAATGTAAATTAAAACCACAATGAAATACCACTACACAACTGTTAGAGTGATAAAAATAAAAAATACTGACAATTATAAGTGCTGCTAAGGATACAGAGCAAACTGCGTGTGTGCTCAGTCGTGTCAGACTCTTTGTGGCCCCGTGGACAGCAGCCTGCCAGGCTTCTCTATCCATGGAATTTTCCAGGCAAGAGTGTTGGAGTGGGTTGCCATTTCCTACTCCAGGGGATCTTCCTGACACAGGGATCAGACCCACGTCTCTTGCGTCTCCTGTGCTGGCAGGCAGGTTCTTTACCACTGAGCCACCTGGAAACTCATAAATTGCTGTGGAAGGTGCAAAATGGTATACTCACTCTCAAGTAAGGTTTGCCTTTTTGTTTTTTAAACTTTAACATACACTTACTATGTGATCCAGTAATCCCACTCCTACTTATTTACCCTCAAGAAATAAGAATTTATGTCGACACAAAAATCTATACACAGTGTTTACTGGCCCCAAACTGGAAATAATCCAGTGACTTTTAACAGGTGAATAAACCAGTGGTGGTAGACCCATACAGTGAAATATTATTCTTCATTTAAAAGGAATGAACTATTGATACGTGTAACAACATGGATAAGTCTCAAAGGCAATATGCTCTGTGAAATCATATAGACTGTATGATTTTAGCTATATGGCATTCTAGAAAAGACGAAATGACACTATAGACAACAGATCGGTGCTTGCCAGAGTAAGGGATGGGGGAGGGTCTGACCACAAAGAGGAGAGTGCGTGGCAACCCACTCCAGTATTCGTGCCTAGAGAATCCATGGACAGAGGAGCCTGGCTGGCTAGTCTACAGGGTCACAGTTAGACACACGGAAGCAACTTAGCACAGTACAGCTGACCACAAGGGGAGAGCATGATGGAGTACTGGGGGGAATAATGGAACTGTTCTGTTTCCCAGTTGAAGTGGTGGATACATAAATCTACTCACAGGTTAAAATCCATAGAATTGTATCCCAAATAAAGGTCAATTTTACTATATTTTAAATAGTAAAGTTACAGGAATGTACAAATACAAATTGAAACAACAACTTGGGAGGAAATCAATATTCCTTGAAGATAGAAGAGAGAAGATAGACACATTGCCTTGATGGGGGAGAGGGTGCCAAGAATGGTTGAGGAAGTGATGCTTGAGCTGGGTTCTAAAGAAAGATGGAGAATTTACTTGGGTCAAAGGAAGGTCCATTGAGATGGAAGAAATTGAACGTGTCAAGGCCCTGGGGCAGGAGGAAGGATGGCTCATTTTCATCTGAAACAGACCAGAGCACAGGGAGTGCCTTGGAGCGATGGGAGAGATGGTGGTGGGGAGGGGCGGGAGCATGAAAGTCCAGAACCGAGCAGTAAGAGTCTGATTATGCTAGATTATGGGTTTGGTTTTGACTCTACATGGGATGGGTAGTGAAGGGTTTTAGGCAACTGTATAACAAGATCCTGAAGAAGGGGATGGCTACCCATTCTGGTATTCTTGTCTGGGAAATCCCATGGACAAAGGAGCCTGGCAGGCCACAGTCCATGGGGTCTCACAGAGTCGGACAGGACTGAGCAACTAACACACATGAAACACCAGATCAGATCTAGGTTTTGAAAAAAAAATTACTTGGGCTGCCCAAAGGAGAGGGTTTTGGGAGCACACAGGAATCATAGAATTGGAAAGGACCTCTCAAACAGGATTTCTCAATCTTGGTACTATTGACATTTTGGGCTAGATAATTTTTTGTTGCGGCCGGGGGGGGGGGGGGCGGTTAAGGGGGTAGCCTGGGGTTGGCCTGTGCATTGCAGGATGTTCAGTAGCATCCTCAGTCTCAACCTACCAGATTCTGGTAGCACTGACCTTCCCTCCTCCAGTTGTGACAGCCAAAATCATCTCTAGACATTGCCAAATATTCACTGGGGGTGTATCAACCCCGGTTGAGAACCGTCGCTCTAAAACAACCAGATAAAATATTTCTGTCTTAACAATAGAATCATCTAGGGAGCTTAGAAAATACAAATACTGGCCTTCACCCCAGACCAACTGAAGCAGAATCTTTGGAGGTGGGGTGGGGCCTGATGCCCAGCATTATTTTTTTTTTCCCAGCATTATTTTAAAAGCTTCCCAGATGACTGTGCTCAGAGTAATGTTTGGGTACCACCAGCCTAGTCCCCACTCTCCATCTATACCTCAGAAGACTGAGCCCAGACTAGAGAAATGACCCCCTGAACCGGAGGCAGAGGAGCTCCAGAATCCCTAACTCCTGGACCAGTACTCATGCCACTGAACCGTTGCCTCTGAACAGCTGCATAGAACATGCCCTGGGCAAACTGTGGAAGCCCAGCCTCCCTGAGTTACCAGTGCTGGCTTTCTGAACATTCCAGTGTTAAGGCTGTCATCCCCTCTTCCTGCAAAGCCCAGGCCCTCCCTCCCTTCCTGCCATCCCTGGAACCTCTGCCCCTTCCTTCTTCTGCTCCTGCTGCTAGATTCATGGTGACCAAAGAGTCTGAATGGACTCAACAGCAAGGGTCGGGTGCAAACTGAAAACATTTACTGACCACCTACGCAGGATCTATTCAAGAGCTGCAGGTAGTAGAGAAGCCCTGGCCCTTAGGAGTTCAGTCTATGGGGAGTAAACAGGTAATTTCCATAAAATGCTGCAGGCTACAACGGCACCACTAGGAGAGAGGTATTTTGCCTGCTGGGGAGCTGCCTGAAACCCCAGCAAAAGGAAGCCCCAGGGAGGGGTGTACAGCAACCATCAGCAACTGTTAGCAGCTTGGAGTGGCTGAAGGGCAAATGGCTCTCAGGGGTTAGCACTGTCGGGAAAGGGCTACACCTTCCTGATCATCCCAGAGGCGAAGTGACCTGCTCGAGGTTGTGCAACTGGTAAGCAGCTGGCAAGAGTTGGGCTTCCCATCAAAGTGTAGGTGGCTCAAAACTCATGGGCTATCCTGTGTCTCAAGGCAGGTGACCCACGCAAGGAAAGAGGGGTTATATAGCTGTGGGTTAGCCTGGGAACTTAATGGAATGATGGGACATTTCTGCAGGAAACATGTTAAAACAACTGACCCAAGAAGTAGGTTTAGATATCCCGCTGCCAGGCAATGAGACTCCCTAAGGCTGTGGTAGCCCTGGGGTTGGATTCCCAGTCCTACCAGGAGGTGGTGGGCGCCCTGAGCTGTACCCCAAAGGCTCCCAACACTGTGCAGAGTTGCATTTACAGCAGACCCTCAAGTGCCCTCTTTTGAAGCCTCTGCCTGGTTCATGGGATACTGGCAGCTGAGCTGTGGCTACTAAGCAATGAGGTTGCTTGAGGATGTTGAGAGAAAGAAGAATCTGGCTTTTATTGGATATCAACAGGGCGGAGTGATCTAGTTTTCAGAAATACCTGTGACAACAACCCGGTATTTTTTAGTTGGGCAGCAGATCCCGATCACCTCATCCTGACTCACCTTGCTCTTTCCCAGGCTCTGGGGTCAGTGTCCTCTGCCCCTTTCCAGGTGTCCAGGCCTGCTTTGTCCAAGCCTGGGGCCTGGGGGTGGGGGTGGGGGTCAGAGAGTGATCCAGATCAAAGCTGTCAGCTGATCATTTTATGGAAGAATCTATATTGAAGAATCCTTTGCAAAGTGAATACTTCCTAAATTTGTTTTATGCTTTAATAAGACACCAAGAATGGTTTAATTTACACACAGTGGCTGGGCATATACAAGGGTACAGCTAGGCATAAGACTAGACACTTTACTTGCCAATTTAAGGCGGAATTGTTATCCCTATTTTAGAGGCTTTGGTCAATGTCTTGAAAAAAGGTTAGGAAGTGGCAGAGCCAAGATTTGGATTCCGAACCGCCCAAACTTCAAACCCCTGGACCACTGATTCTTACACCTTGGTGTTTGAGTCACTAACATGAAATTTACAAAGAATGCAGATTCCTGGTCCCATCCCAGAGTAATTGATTCACTGGGCCTGGAACCAAGGCCGGGGAACCATCATTCCACACGAGAATCTGAACCAGGTAACTCTGCAGCAGCACTTGTCCCTTCTTCCCTCCTTCTCTAATCCAGGAACCTAGCTGTTGTCCTAGGGTCTCAGGTAGCAGAGGTTGCGAGGGAAGCGCGGGGTCTGATCTGAGAATTTGGGCTTTTTTTTTTTTTTTGCAAATGACTTGAAGCTGGGGAAGAAGCGCAACATCGCAGCAGCCCGGCGCCCCACACTCTCACCTGCCTCGAGGTGCGCCCAAACTGGCCTTAGGAGTTTGTCCGTCGCGCTTCCCTAATTCTGAGGACTTTCATTTTCCTCTTTTCGTAAAACCTAAAACCCCCAAGCCGAAAATACCTGGCTAGCCTCTCCTCGCATAGGCGACTGGCTCCGTGTGAGCGGGTAGGGCCCGGATGTCGGGCCCGGGACGGCAAACCTGGCCCGTCGCCTCCCGGTCGGAAAAGGTAGTGCAGGTGACTGGGCGGCCGCTCTGGGCCGGGCGCGGGCGAGGAACCCGAGGGCTGAGCGCAGGCGGCGGAGGAGGGCAGCGCACGGCTCGCGTCGGGCTTCCGGCCCGGGTCGCGGCTGGCTGCCGTTCCCCCTACACCCGGCACCTGCCCAGCACGTCCGGGGCGCGGGGTCGAGGGGGCGCGCAGGCCGGCTCTGTCCCTCCTCCGCCCGGCGGGACGCTGCTCTCCAGTCCGCCGCGGCGCGGATGCCAGGTCAGCGAAGAGTTAAGGAGGCCGGCTTCCTCACCCTTGGAAAGTCCCCGAAATGACGTTGCAACCCGACAATTAAAAAAAAAGTTTAATTATAGAGACAGGCTCTGGGAGTTGGAACAAACCCGGTCGGTCGGTGGGGCCGGTAAACAACTCCGGAGCAAGCGGGCCGGGCTGGACGCCGCCCGCGGAGCCCGTGCCCCTGGGAGCGGGGGAGGGGAGCGCCCTCCAGGAGTTGGGAACCAAAGGAAATTCGAGGAATCGGCCTTCTTTTGGGGGGGGGTGTGGAAGACTTTTTAGCTAACCCGCGGAGCCAAGGCCCCGTCGTGGTGCTTCTGGCGGGTCCCGCAGTCGCGGGGGTTGCGGGGGGAGAGGCGCCACCTGGATACGGGGACCCTGAGTGCGGGTCGGGACTGGCCCTGGGCCCCGCCCGCTCCGGGCCCCTTCCCCAAGACTTTCCACCCCCGCTTCTCCGTCCCTCCCCCGTCTCCCCGCCCCCAGCAGAGTTTAGCGAACCCTCCAGATTGAAAGACCAATGGGCCCCCCCCCTTTTTTTTTTTATTCCTTGCGGGGAGAGTGGGGGTATAAAAAACCGAAATAGCTTCACATCAGGACGCAGACTAACCTTGTGGTTTTAACGCGCACCCTATTCTGTCCTGAAATCTGGAACTCATTACCTCATCACTAAGAAACTGCACGGAACCGCTCCCCCCCACCCCCCTCCTCGAAGCGCGGACGAGAGCGAGCAAACAGCCCTTTAAGAAAGAAACCTACATTTGAATGATTTAAATTAAGGTGGATGGAAGTTATTTCCCCTTCTGGCGCTTGCCAGATTTCAAGAAAAGCTGAAAAATGGGAGCAGGGGGAGGGAAGCAACAGGCAAAAGAAGACACCAGAAGAAGAAAAGCAAGGGGGGCTGCGGCCAGTTTAAAAATGGGGGCCATCAATTTAAGTCACAGGGGACAAATAAAAGCAGACCGGACTGGGGATCACATACATTGGTTCGTGGCTGCAGCAAAGGTGGTGTGTTACGCGAAGATGAAAAAAAAAAAAAAACCCAACAACAACAGGTTCCTAAAACAGTTGTGATTTGGAAGGTTTCCGGGTTTGCTCGGAGGCTGACAAATAAGAAATGCAGTAAAAATATGTGTGTGGTGGTGGCGGCGGCGAGAGTGCGACTCCAGCGCTCTGCTCCGCCCGCCCCAACCTTTTCAAAGAAACGTGCTCATAATGGGGTGACCTAATTACATCGCAATGGAACCCGCTCTTAGCCACTCAGCGCACGGGGTTTCATAACAGACCCGGCGGCCTCGAGTGCTGGGAAGAAACGTGCGAGGGCTGAGGAGGCGGCCGGGAACGCGGGGAAATAGGAAAGAAACGCAGCCCCGCGGTTTCCACTTCGGTCTGTGGGGGACACATTCACAACTTTTTATCTGGGTGGGTGGAGGGGTGTCCGAACCAACAGTAAATAAATATATACTTTGCAGTTTTCAGAAGAGTAATAATTGCCAACTCGAGGCCTTTCGGTTTCGAGGATCCCATGGCCCCCTCCCCCCATCCCGCCAAAACAGCGTAGTGTGACAAGCCATATGTTCCATTCCCGTGAGGGCGGGGGAGAAGCAACAATAAGTGTCGCCTCCCCCCATCTTTGTATCTTCATTCTTACCAAAGTAACTTTTTTTTCATGGTTCCAGCGTCTGTGGTGCGTATATGTGTTGCTTAGGGAGTTTCAGGCTCAGCCCGTGGTTCAGAGCGCGGGGCAAGCTGTGCGTTGCTCGGTGATTTTTTTTCGGGGGTGGGCAGAAGGGCGTTCGTGAGGATTCAGGTTTGTTTTAGAAAAATATTTAAAGATAGCTGCGTGCAATAAATACCACTCCCAGGCCTGTGAAAAACAATCCGCCCGGACGGGGGTCTTTTTCACGGAGCACCCCCCACCTCGCCACCCCGCCCCAGACTTGGAGGGTGTCTGCGGCACAGCGAGCGCCAGTGTAGGCGCGAGCGGCGCGCTAAGTCGCTTGGTGCTCGCCCGCGCCAGGCCCGGGCCTCCGGGGTGTGTGTGTGTGTGTTGTGGGGCGGGGGGGGGGACCTCCTTAATCCTTCTCCCTCACCCCCGCCCCTGAAGAAACAAAACCCTAGACTTGAACGCTCTGTACTCCCCTTATTTCCAGTTTCCTCTCCCCGTGGGGTTTGCGGAGGGGAACCGAGGGCTGAAGAGATCCCGGGAAAAGAGTGAAGTTGTGCGGGAACTTGGAGAAGTTTCAAGGGAGATCGGCACAAGATGGAAACCGCAGCCCGGGCGCTTAGGACGGGCTTCTGCTCCCGCTTGCAAAAAGAGAAAGTCCAGCCCGCCTTCCTGCCCAACCAAAAAAAAAAGAAAAGAAAAATAACAACATAACAACAAGAACCCCGAAGAGTGTGGAACGAGTGATGTCACAGAGCCGCGCTCGCAGGCTGACAAAAGGGGGGCGCCCCTTCCCCCCCCGCCCCCGCGCCGCGCGCGGCCCCAGAAAGGGGCGCCGCCCCGGGGTAGACAGGCGAGCGGACTCGAAACTTTTCCTCTTTAAGAAAAAAAAAGTTGTGCGCGGCTCACAGTGGGTTTTTTTTTTTTTCCTCTTCGCCTTCTTTCCTCGTCTCCCCTCCCCCTTCTTCCTTTTGAAAGTTTCTTTTTTTTTTTCCCCCGAGTTTGACCGCATGGCTGATTCAACTTAAGTGTCAATCAACTTTTTTTTCCTCCTCTTCCTCATTTAAATAAGTTTAAAGCTCCTCCTCCCCCTCCGGCCCACCAAATCTGAAACTTATATAAATTGGGCTTCGCGCGCCGCAGCCCGGGAGAGTCAGAAAGGCGAGGGGCGCCGGGAGCAGGCGTGTGGGACTCCTGACCGGAGAGCCGGAGGCTGCGCCTTCCCCGCACCGGGACCTTCGCGACACACCAGACCCTCGTCCCTGCCCCGCGCGAGCGCCCAAGATGACCACCACCCTCGTGTCTGCCACCATCTTCGACTTGAGCGAAGTTTTATGCAAGGTAAAGTGGGACGCAGCGTTCCCTTTTCAAAATCTTTTTTCTTTTGTCTTCAAAAAGAATCTCCGAAAAGTTTAGGTCTGGACAGGCAGTGGTGGGGGAGAGGAAGAGAGGCGAGATGATTGTTTTTTCCGCCTCATTTTTCTCCCCAGTTTGAAGGAATTTGGCTTTCTCCTCCCCACCCTTTGCGTTTCAACCATTCCTGGCGGGGATTACCTGGGAATCCAGAGGCCAGAGTTTTAGGGGGCGCAGTGTGCGTGGGGGCTGCCCGGGGCAGTGTTTGGGGTTGGGGCAACTTTTCGGTGATTGTTTTCGCCCGTGACGTGCCGCTCTTGAGTCCGGCTTCGCTAGTTTGCTCCGTTTAGGGTGTCGCCGCTCCCGGGAGGGAGTTCGAGTCTCTCCAGTCACTTTGCCGGACTGCAGGTCGGGAGGTGCGGGTCCCTTGGGAAAGGAGAATCTTGGGATGACGTTTTGCTGGGTGATTTCCCCCTCTGTTCTGGAGAGGCTGGGGATCTGCGAGAAAAAGGCCAAGAGTTGTGATTCAAAGGATGTTGTCAAACGAGTTTGCATTGGGACTTCAGTTCGCCCCAGCTCGACAGGCTTCCTGTTGTGATAGCCGATCGTGCTGCAAACTTTGGGGGTGAAAGTGGGACTCGGGTTCACCCGCTTTCCTCTTTTCTGAGAATGAGACTCGTGGATATGGACGGGATGGGGGGAGCGGAGGGGGAGACACGACGACAAAATGCCCGTCTGAGCTCTAGGGTCTTGGCGAGGAAGGATTTAATGAGGGCCTAAGTCGTGTAGCTTGCCAGCCGGTGTGGAAAAAGGCGAGTTTTAAATCCGAAATATTATTCCAGGAGTGCAGTTTAAGGGTATATAACAGAAGCCTGTGGATGTTAAATTTTTTTTCTCCCCATCTCCCCAGTTTGAAAGAGAAGCTGCTTGGCTACTTTTAATTGCTAAAGTGTTTTGCCTTCTTTTAAACACGTCGAGTCATGTTGCTGTCTTTTCCTAGCTTGCTTCTCCAGTCGGTGCAGCTGCCAGGGCCCCAGGGCTGCAGGATTGGGGTGCAGGGACACCCTGGAGCTGAAGAGCAACATCAAAAATTTGAATTTCAGTTTCCTTCCCTCCCTGTGCTTTTCCAAACTTCAGTTGCCCTGGCGGCTGCCTGAGCTAGCCGGCACTTCTTCCTTCTTTTCGCAGCTCTCCGGCTCTTTGATCTATTTCTCTTTCTCTTGCTCCCTCCCCCCGCAGGACTTTTTAAATGAACCTCATTGTTGGGAACTGGCTCTCCACTGGGTTCCTGTAATCCGCTCCAGGGGGTGGTTGCTGTTACAGATTCCCGATCCCCCGCAGCTGATCCTAAGGGGCCAACTTTAGAATTTGCACAATGACACCCACATGGGTCGGGAAGCCAACTCCCAGGTCCCCTGCTCACACCCTTTCCAAATCTTAGATACAGGTTGGGCAGGTGAATAGAGTCCCATTGGAACAGAGACCTGCCTGTAGTGCCTCTGCTCCCCCCCACCTCCCCCACGTCCATTATTGACTGGGAGGAGGTTGGGGGGATTTGGTGCTTTCCTTTTCCTTCCCACCTGCAGCTTTGCGTTAAAGATTAAACACTGGCGCTCTTATCCTACCCTGCTCTTGCAGCCAGGAGACTTAACTGCAAAGGCATCCTCTCAGCGGAGGGGGTGGGGTGCGCAGTGAATGGTGGGAGAAATCATTGTAGAAGGCTCCCCTTCTGGGAGTATGGGAGTTTTGTATTCAGGGGATCACATCCCTCTCCCCGTCCCCCGCCCCCCCCCCCCCAATCAGGGATTTCTCCTCCAGCCCCTCCCTCTCCCCTCTAAGCTGCAAGGTAAAGTGAAGGCAGTCTGGAAACCTGTTGCCAAAGCAATAGATCGCTTCTGAAGGAGGAAGTAGAGCGTCTTCGGCCCGGCTGTGTGTGTGTGTGTTGGGGTGTGTGTGTGGGGGGGTAGTCAGTTAAGCAGGGACTGATTGAAAGGAGGCCTAGCCCATAGTCTCCTGCTGTTTACCTTTTTTTGTTAAGAGGGTGGGAAGTGAGAGTTTGTGAGTTGTGTGAGATATTTTCAACTGAGGAAGGTGGAGTTGGATATTCTGGATGAAAGTGGTAGTTTGGGGACAGGATATGACAGTGCATTCCAGGGATCCAGGGATCAGCATGGAGTAGGTGCATGTGTAAAACAATTTCTCACATAGGCCAGGATTGTTGTGGTTTCTTCTGCCTGGGACCAAAGTAAACCCTCTTGACTGGTGGAATGGGAGAAAGAGGAGGGGGCTTGCCAGGGCAGAGGTGGGGATGGTGGGCTCCTTTGAGAGAGATGGAGCATTTCTGATTGTGGACGGGGCTTGCCCTTAGGGGTACCCTTCTTGGCCTGGTGGATGGCCTTTGTCACTAACCACAGTCTTTCCTTGCTTTCCCCTCCAGGGTAACAAGATGCTCAACTACAGTACTCCCAGTGCCGGGGGGTGCCTGCTGGACAGGAAGGCAGTGGGCACCCCTGCCGGCGGGGGCTTCCCCCGGAGGCACTCGGTCACTCTGCCCAGCTCCAAATTCCACCAGAACCAGCTCCTCAGCAGCCTCAAGGGTGAGCCAGCCCCAGCTCTGAGCTCTCGGGACAGCCGGTTCCGAGACCGCTCTTTCTCAGAAGGGGGTGAGCGGCTGCTGCCCCCTCAGAAGCAGCCGGGAAGCGGCCAGGTCAACTCCAGCCGCTACAAGACCGAGCTGTGCCGCCCCTTCGAGGAGAACGGAGCCTGTAAGTACGGCGACAAGTGCCAGTTCGCCCACGGCATCCACGAGCTCCGAAGCCTGACCCGCCACCCCAAGTACAAGACGGAGCTGTGCCGCACCTTCCACACCATCGGCTTCTGCCCATACGGGCCCCGCTGCCACTTCATCCACAACGCCGAGGAGCGCCGTGCCCTGGCTGGGGCCCGGGACCTCTCTGCTGACCGTCCCCGCCTCCAGCATAGCTTTAGCTTTGCTGGGTTTCCCAGTGCCGCCGCCACCGCCGCTGCCACGGGGCTGCTGGACAGCCCCACATCCATCACCCCACCCCCCATCCTGAGCGCCGATGACCTTCTGGGCTCACCCACCCTCCCCGATGGCACCAATAACCCCTTCGCCTTCTCCAGCCAGGAGCTGGCGAGCCTCTTTGCCCCTAGCATGGGGCTGCCCGGGGGTGGCTCCCCGACCACCTTCCTCTTCCGGCCCATGTCCGAGTCCCCTCACATGTTTGACTCTCCCCCCAGCCCTCAGGATTCTCTCTCGGACCAGGAGGGCTACCTGAGCAGCTCCAGCAGCAGCCACAGTGGCTCAGACTCCCCTACTTTGGACAACTCAAGACGCCTGCCCATTTTCAGCAGACTTTCCATCTCAGATGACTAAACCAGGGTAGGGAGGGACCCCCCTGCCTACTCTCCTCCCCCACCTCCTCATCCCCTCCCCACATCCCCTCCCCTTACCCCCTTCCCCATCCGATTCCTGACAAACCCCTACATAACAAGGTTAAGCTCAACCCCTTTCCCCCAGAACCTTGGACCGCCCCCTCCCTCTCCCCTCTTTACACCCCACCCCCAACATAAGGACAAGTCAATTTGTCAGTAGCTTCCTCTGGCTTGAACCCCCTCGATTTTTATAGCCCACTTAACCATGCATAACAGACAAGTCCCATATTTGTCAGTAGATGCCTTTTTTTTTTGTTACCCCCCCTGGCTTAAGCCTTAAGTGCCAAATCACAAAAGAAAAAGCAGTAACAGTTTACAGAAGCAACTTAGTGCCTTGTAATCTAACTTCGTCACTGTGACTACATTACCTCTTCAGCGCCAGAGGGCACCCGTGGGCCTCCCCAGAGCCTCTGCCCAGGGGAGGGGGAGGTGGGGGGTGGGCATGTAGAACCAGCAGCTCCCTCCACTGGCAACACAATTGCACCTTTCCTTAATTTCAGTCTCCCACACACTTCCTCCCTCCCTCTCCCTGGTAGCCCCCACACCCCGCTCCAGAGAGTTGTTGCCAGACTTGGGTTTTTGGGGAAACCTGTCGACATTCAAAACCTTTTTTCTTCCCGACCTGAACCTCTGTTGACTAATCTTGCCTGGGTTCGTGTAGGTCTGCAGGAAGGAAGACTGCAAAAGCGGATGAAGATTGTGACATTAAGTGGGACTGTGTGATTTAATTTTTTTCTTTTTTAAGTGGGGAGGAAGGGGAAGCTAGATGGACTATGAGAGACTTGATTTTGGTGCTAAAGTTCCCCAGTTCATATGTGACATCTTAAAAAAAAAAAATAACAACAAAAAGAGAGAAAAGCTTAAAAAAAAAAACATGTAAGGGGTGAGCAGTTAATGGTATTCATTCCACATACAATATCTGTGTAAAACGATTTCCTATAGAAGTAGCTTTAATGGTTTTTGCTCTAGAATACCGTAGGTCTATCCTTAGAGCACTCACGCCATGCTTTTTTCCCTGGGTTTTAAACTTCATATAACTTTCAGAAATTGGAGAGCAAAAATTTTGCTTGTCACTGCACATCAATATAAAAAAGCTTATTTAACTTATCAAAACGTATTTATTGCCAAACTATGCTTTTTTTTTGTTAATTTTGTTCATATTTATCGGGATGACAAATCCATAGAATATATTCTTTTATGTTAAATTATGATCTTCATATTAATCTTAAAATTTTGTGACGTGTCTTTTTCCTTTTTTTCCACAGTTTTAATATATTATTCTTCAACGACATTTTTTGTAACTTTACACTTTTTTTGGTTATTTTATTTTAAAAAAATGAAAAATTAATTTAAAAAAATGCAAAAAACTGTTGGATTATTTATTTTAGAAATTTCCCCCCTTTGTGTTGGACTGCAAATTGAGTTTCTTTCTCTTTTGGCCTTTCACAACTAGGACTGAGAATGTATGTAAAAGTTCTGTGACAGTACAGAAGGAAAACAACTTTTTATGTATAGCTTCTAAAAGGGAAAAAAAAAAAAAGAAACCCTTTGACTTCCACGTGCCCATCTCAAGACATTCCGATTGCAGATTTGAGGTTCTGGATTCCAGGTTTTGGAGTTTTCCAATGTTAATACAAACAGAACTGGCACACCACACATTAAGATGAATGTAATTATTATTCCTCTTGCTGGTCACTACCGTCGCTTTCTATTTCTCTTTCTTTGTGTGAATTTATTTAAAAAAAACTTTTTGTAACGACTATTTGCAGTTTAAAAATCAATAAACCCATTTTTTTCAAGAAACATTGATGGTAAAGCTGGTTTTGCTTGCTTTGGCTTTGCTCTTTGCCTGTAGGCTTGTCCTTTGTAGATGAGGTAGGTGCTAGGAGGGGGAGGAGGGGGGAAGGGCATTGGTTGATTTCTTCTTGTCTTTAACAGCTAAACCCGTGGCTGGTTCCTTTTGTTGAGGTTGGAATTCTGCTGAGCTTAGAGGGGATGGTGTGGGGGTTGATTGCAAAGCAGCCTGTATTTGTATTAACCTGCCCAGTTGTTGGTTGGTGACAAGGGGCCAGCCTTACCCACCCTTGTAGCCTCCAAGATTATTCTGGAGACCTGAGGCATGGGGGCTTCCAATCTTCCCTGCTTAGTCTGTGGTCATAATGTTTGGGGTGCTGAAAGGATGAAGAGGGGGATGTAGCATGTGGCACTCCAGCAAACCTGGATTTGTTCTTTTATTTGGGCACTTCCAGGCCTTTTTTTTTTTTTTTTTTGGCTGTGCCACCTGACACATGAGATCTTAGTTCCTAGACTAGGGATCAAACCCACACCCATGCATTGGGAGTGTGGAGTCCTAATCTCTGGACAACCAGGGAATTCCCTCTCGGCTTGTTTTTCCCCGCAGGAGATGGACCTGAAGCTCTAGCCTCTTAACACTTGTCTGGGGTGGGTATGATGAACCACTGCAGACTCATGGGCTTTCAGGGTGGCGAGGGGCTCAGTCACAGGGCACTAGGGGCAAAGGTAGTTCCATTTGGACTCAACATGTGCTGCTATATTTGGAAGACTGTTGAAGAGGCATGAAAATGGCCAGTGTAACAGGAAGTCATCAGTTCCCACCACCTTGGTCTTTGTTGCATCCCTGATGCCACGCAGGATAGGCAGGTGGTCATCTTGGGAAGGATGAGGTCCCCTTGGCTAGAGGAACCTTAGCCAGTGTCAGATGGCCACTTAGAGGGGATGTTTCGCCTGCCAGAGAGAGGCTGCATCCTGAAATCTTAGTCTGGTTCTTGGGAGGATTTCTTTCTGAGGAGGCAGGGATATCTGAGGCTTAGCTGCCTTCAGTTCCTTGCACTCAGTAAGTTTTGGGATTGCTGTGATTGCTCAGTCACTTAGTCGTGTCTGACTCTGACCCCATGGACTGCAGCATGCCGGTCTTCCCTGTCCTTCACCATTTTCTGGAGCTTCCTCAAACTCATGTCCATTGAGTCAATGTTGCCATCCTATCATCTTAACTCTGTTGCCCCCTTCTCCTGCCCTCAATCTTTCCTAGCATTCAATTTTAGGGAATAAGCTAAATTTCTACTGGGACTCCACTGGGCCCCTCCCAAGGCAGACAGGTCTGCAACAGACATCAGCTGGCCCAGGGCTGTCCTTGAGGTGGGGCAGACCTACTTTAGGCATCCTGTGATTTTGTTCCCTGGCCAGTAGGTGCTTGCTGGGGGGCAGGGCCAGGAGGTAGAAAAAAGGGACTATTAACCTCTTCCAGGGCAAAGGCTGCTGGTGGAAGAAGGAAAATCAGCCCTTCCTGGGTCTGGAGTAAACCTAGGCCCTCTGTCCCTTGCAGAGGGAATGAGTACGTGTATATGTATGTGGTGGGTGGTAATGGTGGTGTGGGAGCATGTGAGTTTCCTTTCTGAATAAAAGCAAAAAATACATAATCGTGCACCTTGAGCTGGCTTACTGTAGGCATAGATGAGCATATGGCAGATATCTTTGTAATTCCCCAGTTCATGGAGCATTGGTTGGGGGCTGAGCATATCCACTGGCCAGCCCAGAATTTCCTTCACTGGAGTCAGTCCTCTGGGTGATACCAAAGAAGGAAGCATTGATTCCCAGAGATCCTGGAGTGTAGGCACTGGCTGGAAAGGTGAGAGGAGGTTCCCTATGGCCTGGGGAAGCTTTCTGTCCCCACGACTTGACCCTTCACTTCAGTGTCTCCATGGGAAACTCACACAGGCTGGACTTAGGCCCACTCAGGCCCAAGCACAATCACCACAAAGAACCTGATTTTCTACCATATAGATCTTAAAGGTAGACGAGATACTGCAGTCCAAAGCTACTTGGAAAATGAAATAGCAGAATCGTTTCAGGCCCGTTCTTTTTCCGGGATATTAGGTGATGAAAGGCCTCAATAGCAGCCCTAGTCCTGTGCTCTGGGCTGGCAAGGATTCCAGGGAGGTGTGAGCCCAGAGCTGCAGGGAACCTCCCTGAGCCCCTCTATGGCCAGAGAAGATAAAAGCCATGCAGAGAGAGCGGGAAGTAAGGCCTCCAGAGAGGGAGGTGGGGCAGGAAAGGCCAGGCCTGCCTTTGTCAGCCAGCTTCCTGGGGCAAGAGGTCTACTTCCTCACCTCCTGCCCTGGAACTTGGGGCATCTCTGTTTTGGGAGCCTTTGCAAGGTCTGTCCTGGTGGGGCAGGGCCTCCATGGCTGTTGGCCCTGCAACTCATTTTGTTGTTGTTTACTTGCTCAGTTGTGTCCAGGTCTTTGCAACCCCATGAACTGCAGCACGCCAAGCTTTCCTGTCCTTCACTACCTCCTGGAGCTTGCTCAAACTCAGTCCATTGAGTCAGTGATGCCATCCAACCAATCTCATTCTCTGTTGCCCTCTTTTCCTCCTGCCCTCAATCTTTCCCAGCATCAGGTCTATGACTCACGGTCTGGCTTTTGGTTAAATTTCTTTTCTTGGAGCAGCTCAAAGACATGAGATCTTTTGGCCACTGAGCAATGATTTACCTTTTTAGGCCTTGAAGCCTCACTTTTGGGGAGGAGTTTGGGAGCCTGCTCTACCTCAGTGTTACCCTGGTGAGAGGAAGACCTTTGGGAGGAATGGGGAGGCAAATGTGAGATGGGTTTTGCGTTCAAGTGGATCATAACAAAGCACTGGTTATGGGCAGACACGGTCAAGGCAGGAAGATGTTTCTGTGGCATGGAGGTTGGAGCTCTTCAACTTGGGTTCAAATCCCAGCTCTACTATGCCAGCTTGTGCCTTGGGTGAATGACTCAACCTTGAATTTTCCATCTGTATCTTGAGGGGTGACCGTGAGGATTAAGCGAACCATACCAATGATGGCTCTCCATTCAGTGCCAGGTAGTCTGAGAACTTTGTGTGTGTTAACTCATTAAATGCTATAGTGACCGCTCAGGGGAAGTTCAATACTACCAT